AAAGTTGGACGTTAATGGCCTTAGATGCCAACTCATTAGTCAAGAGGTTAAGTGTTCGTGCGCGAGACCAAAGATCCTGAGTTCAACTCCAGCCTGAGGGGTCACGTAAGCGCATTGCCGATAAGTCCTACACTCAGACGGAACGGTTGTTCAGTGCTTCCAAGTTTCTGAAGGCGGTCTAACACTGATTAGTTCATGATTTCAATGAAACATAAGGTGTTGAGGGAGGAGCACTTGTTATTTGTCTGTGTGCAATTAATGCAGATCCGTAGTTATAATCGCAATAATCCAATCATTCACATTATTATTGCAATATACTACTAAATAAAAGTATCTAACAGATTTCAGTAGTCAACTATTGTTTCTAAGAAAACACACTAAGAATTACACCATTTTCTGCTACTACTAATGTAGTGAACGAAAACACAGGTGGGGCAAACGGATTGTACTTAACGAAAATTACAGAGTTACTCAGTAAAATCGGAAAACCATATCGTAAATCGTTAATTTGCAAAATATCAGTTCATCATATCGAACTGGACTGTTCCTGTTGCAAAACATCAGTCCATTGTCACTACTATTCATGCGTTTCATACAAATTCCATTGTGTTCTAACTCTTCTTTTCTTGATCTTCACCCATCTTCTGCTGCCAGACATTACGTTGACACTCATATACTACTTATAAGTAGCTCGAACCACACTAACATTACCCTATCAGATATAACCGTGGGGATCTCTATGTAATATGAATAGATTGAGTTTTTTTTCTCAGTTGTAATTACTCCTGCTTTATAGCCTTATACATTTAAATCCTACTATGTTTACTTGAATCAATTAAACAAAGAACAAAAAATACCTTTCGAATTCCAAATAAAATCATAAGATGAACGAACCTTGCAGTGGTGTTTCGTCCTCTGAGCTGGATTTTTTGGTTGTGACGCTTTGATTGTTCTTCTGAACAACATCATCAGCACAAGCTTCAGATAGAGGAAGTGAAGTATTCGAAAATTCTCCACGTTTGACCTGTAGCTTGTTCTGCTAACCTCAATCTTGTTTGGTAGGTTTAAAGTCAACAGCAAACAATCAAGATCGAGGTTGGCAGAACAAGCTACAGGTCAAACGTGGAGAAATTTGAATACTTCACCTCGACCTGAAGTTTGTGCTGATGATGTTGTTCAGAAGAACAATCAAAGTTTCATAACCAAAACATCCAGCTCAGAGAACGCAACACCACCACAACCATCCATCTGAGCTACAAATTTTCTGCACCATCTCACGAAGGAATTTCTTAGGTTGATAAACAACATTTCATATTTATAAATCGTTTAAGAATAAAATTCATGTCAAAGTTAGATTGTATCAAAGTTCATATTTCAATTAGATTTATCTATACTAAAAATTTACTTAGTGCTCAACTAGAGTAGAGTTAGTTATGAATGTGTATAGAACTAACGAGAAAAATCTAAGATAGACATGAAAACTAGTTGGAATAATACGGTTACTTAGTCAAGAATAAAATAACTTAGGACTTAGTGATAAATTCGACATAAGTCAGTCAGCCAGTCAGTTACAACGTAGAACTTCGTACGTATGTACATATGTTCATGTTGCCATACCACATGAACACAGAGACGCAAATGTCAAATCAAATCCCACATTGTGATAAAGATAGTAGAGGTATTAATGGTAATGAAGAAGACTAGGGTTTGAAAATAATATTCAAGAAGTATAATTCAGTGAGATAAGTTTAGAAAGACAAAGGTAGAGGTGCTGACGTATCCAGAAGATTAGGATTTGAGAGAGCACAATGAATGGATGCACTGACGCCATTGTAAATGATTTTGAGCCATGTCGTTCAAGGTCTCCTCTAACCATTGGTGACTTTCGCCTCGGGTTGCCATACCACATTAGCACAGAGACACAACTTTCAGTTCAAATCTCATTTTTCACACTACGACAGGTCCTGGAACATAGACATACATTTAGGCGTCCTACAATAGTTGTTTTCCTGGACCTTAAGGCGGCATTTGACTCTGTTGATCGTAAGGTTCTGTGGCAGTGTCTGTCATTGAAAGGTGTACCAAAGAAGTACATTAACCTTATACAAGCCCTTTACTCGAACACCACTGGTCGAGTGAGGGCTTATGGCGAACTGTCACCGGAATTCTCTACATCAAGTGGTGTCCGTCAGGGATGTCCACTTTCTCCATTCTTGTTTAATTTTATCATAGACATGCTCCTAGAGTTAACATTATCCTCGTCTGAATTTTCAGGAGTAGACCTTCTACCAGGTGGCTCGCTTATTGACTTAGAATATGCCGATGACATTGTCCTACTTGGTGAAGACGCTGACAAAATGCAGAGTCTTCTGACTACCCTAAGCAACAATGCAAGCATGTTCGGGATGCGGTTTTCCCCCTCGAAATGCAAAATGTTGCTTCAAGACTGGGTTGCATCGGCACCTGAACTAGTGATAGGGAGTGAAGTAGTCGAACGTGTAGACCGCTTCACTTATCTTGGGAGTCTCATCAGTGCCGATGGCCTGGTGACTGACGAAATCTCGGCTCGGATACAGAAGGCTCGATTAGCTTTTGCCAACCTGCGTCACTTATGGCGTAGGCGAGATATCCGTTTGCTGACTAAAGGACGAGTGTACTGCGCAGTAGTTCGCTCCGTCTTACTTTATGGCTGTGAAACATGGCCAGTGAGAGTAGAAGATATTCGTAGGTTACTGGTTTTCGATCATAGGTGTCTTCGAAGCATTGCTCGTATATCGTGGGACACCCGAGTGAGCAACGCTGTTATTAGGAAACGGGTGCTAGGTAAGAATGGCAGATCAATAGATGAAGTATTGAAACTTCACCAGTTGAGGTGGTTGGGACATGTTTTGCGTATGCCCAACCACCGACTGCCTCGTCGAGCTTTGTTTTGTAGTGTGGGAATAGGTTGGAAGAAAGTTAGGGGCGGCCAAACCAAAACATGGCAGAAATCCGTGAAGTCATTGACTAGTGGACTGAGCCATGTCGGTAATTGTCGACTACCTGGTTGGGGTCTACGAGATGATAATAATCGATGGTTAGAGACCTTGAATGACATGGCTCAGAATCGTTCGCAATGGCGCCAGTGCATTTATTCTTCGTGTTCTCTCAAATCGTAATCTTCTGGATTCTTCGACCCCTCTAGTTTCGACTCTCTAAACTTTTCTCACTGAATCATACTTCTTGAATAGTATCTTCTAATCCTAACCTCCAATTATTTCTAATTCCCTTACTACCTCTTCTACTATTGGATTTGAATTGACGATTACTTCTCTGTGCTGATGTGGTATGGCAACATGAACTGATGTACCTATGTACAAAGTTCTACGTTGCATCTGACTGACTGACTGACTGTTCAAATCTCATAGTGGTAGAAGTATTACCGGTAAAGGAGAAGATTAGTGTTCGGAGATAAGATTCAAGGAGTATTATAATTCAATGAGGTAAATCTAGGAAGAGAAATGTAAACATGATGTGGGATTCAGAAAATTAAAATTTCTTAGAATACGAAGAGTGGATGCACCTGCGCCATTGAAAACGATAAATAAAATAAACAGTAGTATCAACCAAAGTACCAAAGGTTTGAAGCGGACTTAAATCAAGGAATAGAAAGTACTAAATCATTTTTTTTTGAAAAAAACATTCAAGATCTAGAGGAGGATGGAAAAAAAAGGGAATGAATGCAACTGTACCTCTACAACCCCATTTTGAGTCATATCACTACTCAAGATCATCAATCAAATAGTATACTCCAGAGCTGAAATGTATACCTCACAACATCGATGATCAATAACATCAGAAATTGAAATATTAGATTTCAATTTATAAGAATGCTTTAGCTTTCGATCAACCTAATTAAAATGCTAGTCACTGATAAACCATGCAATAATAAACGATGACCAGCTGAGACAGTCAGTCAGATGCAACGTAGAACTTCGTACGTAAGTACATCAGTTCATGTCGCCATACCATATCATCACAGAGAAGTAATTGTCAATTCGAATCCAATAGTAAAAGAGTTAGTAAGGGTATTAGAAGTAATTGCAGAGGTTAGGATGAGAAGATATTATTCAAGAAGTATGATTCAGTGAGAAAAGTTTGGAAAGTCAAAAGTAGAGTTGTTGAAGAATCCAGAAGATTACGATTTGAGAGAACACGAAGAATAAATGCACCGGCGCCATTGCGAACGGTTTTGAGCCATGTCATTCAAGGTCTCTAACCATCGATTATTATCATCTCGTAGACCCCAACCAGGTAGTCGACAATTACCGACATGGCTCAGTCCACTCGTCAATGACTTCATGGATTTCTGCCATGTTTTGGTCTGGCTGCCCCTAGTTTTCTTCCAACCTACTCTTACACTACAAAACAAAGCTCGACGAGGCAGTCGGTGGTTGGGCATACGTAACACATGTCCCAACCACCTCAACTGATGAAGTTTCATTATTTCATCTATTGATCTGCCATCCTTACCTAGTACTAGTTTCCTTACTTACTTACTTCTTACTTAGCACTCGATTCCTAATAACAGCGTTGCTCACTCGGGTGTCCCACGATATACGAGCAATGCTTCGAAGATACCTATGATCAAAAACCAGTAACCTACGAATATCTTCTACTCTCACTGGCCATGTTTCACAGCCATAAAGTAAGACGGAACGAACCATTGCACAGTACACTCGTCCTTTAGTCAGCAAACGGATATCTCGCCTACGCCATAAGTGAGACCAGCTGAGACAGCTACTAACTAATGTCCTTTTGACAAATACAACAAATGTGCAACTCATTAGTCGCGTCAAAAAAACATGACACACACATATAAAATCAACTAGATCAATCAACACATACATAACAATATCTAGAATTATTTTTACTTTTCTATCAATAAATACAAATGTCAACACTAAAAGTATATAAATCAATGCTGGAAAATGAGTATATAATAACTTCATTGGCATTAATTATCTTCTATACCATGCTTTAACAGGTTTTGACGATTTAATTTTCTTTTGTAATTGTAATATAGAATACATTAGTGCTTCAGCAGATGGAGGACAACCTAATAAATTAGAATAAAAAATACGATAAATTCAGTGTTTTTTATTTCTATTCGACTAAAATAGTTATCACATTAAAGTAAAACAATGATGTTGTTAGGAATTACAGGATTACAGATCAATATAGATGAAGTATTGAAAATTTATCAGTTGAGGTGGTTGGGATATGTGCTGCGTATGCCTAACCACCAACTGCCTCGTCGAGTTATGTTTTGTAGTGTAGGAATAGGTTGGAAGAAATCTAGGGGCGGACAAACCAAAACATGGCAGAAATCCATAAAGTCAATGACACGTGGACTGATTCATGTTGATAAATGTAGACTACTTGGTTGGAGTCCGCGAGATGATAGTAATCGATGGTTAGAGACTTTGAATGACATGGCTCAAAACCGTTTGCAATGGAGCAGGTGCATTCATTCTTTGTGTTCTCTCGAATCTTAACTTTCTGGATTCCTCATCACTTTATCTTTTTCTTTTTAAGGTTATTTCACTAGATTCTACTTCTCGAATAATATCCTCGGACCATAATCGCTCCGATTACTATTAATACTTCTACTACTATGGTATTTGAATAGACGATTGCATCTCTGTGCTAATGCGGTATGGCAGCTTGAACTAATGTACGTAGGTACGAAGTTCGACGTTGTAACTGACTGATTTATCACATAGTGTAATTATCAGCTATTTATCGGTCACTCGAATGCAGTGTAGAACTTCGTATGTACGTACATTGATTTGAATTGCAATATTTCATAAGCATAGAGAGATGAAATTATCAAGCTAAATCCCAGAGTAGTAGAAGTAGTAGCATTATTTGTGAGGAGATGGGAAATACGATCCAGAAAAATATAAATCAGTGAAATAAAAAATCTTTTTATAAAATAATGAGGAATTCAAAAGCTTGGAAAACTTGGAACACAAAGAATGGATACACTCGAACCATTAGAAATGATTTTGAGCTATGTCGTTTAAAGTCTCTAACCGTACGTGACGGTTTTCATGTGGACTCTAAGCATGTAGTCTACACCTACTAACTGCAGCCAGGTTTTGGTTTGGCCACCACTAGCTTTCTCCCAGCTTGCTCTTACACCAGATAATATCACATGTTGAGTTAGATGACAGTTTGACATATGCAACTCATATCCTAACCAGCTAAGCTGATGAAAATTCCCTACTTCGTCACTCGATTTGCTAACCTTACGTAATACCCTATTCGTAACCTCCTCATCGCTTACTCGGTGATGCCGAAATATATGACTAGTGCTTTGAAGACACTTACGAGCGACTGATAGTAACCTAAGAATGTTCTTTTTTCATCATCAGACACCACACCATTAAGATCGACGAAACCCCAAAGCGTGAAGTGATAGATAAGCTCACCACTCCTTATTGCTAATGCGGAAACCGATGCAAATAAATTCTAAAGCGGAATTTTGTATTTGGAAACATTTATAACTGACCGTTACTTAAACAGCTAAACATGGTACACTCTTATTTACTTACTAAAAGAAATAAAATAGCGCACAGTCACTTGAGGGTTTAGGATAGTTATAGATTCTTGGGAGTCATCACAGAGGATTTTACTTTTATGTAGTCCAACTAGAAAGTGAGTAGTGAAGTCACTCGTAGGGTACTAATAGGAAATAGTACATGTCTAATGAATTTTCGAACTTAAATCAATTGAAGTGATTGGGGTATGCTCCATGCATCACATACTACTGTCTAATTAATAATCAGAATAGGTATTCAGTTAGTACTTTAAGACTTCATAAAATTATCCCTAACAGTCGAGTACACATACAAGTACATAACTTAAGAAATGCAAGAATAAACTGTACTTTAACTGAATAGGCTAATTAGAAAGAATTTGATACTGTATTGGAAAATTATTGATGGGTCCCTAAGTTGTAATAATATAAGGAATGAACATATTAATCGGTTTTGAGAAAATATTTAGCACCGAACATTTATGTCAGATTGAGTCTTATGAATCGTCTTACATTAAAAAATCATAGAATATAAGCAAACAACTGTCAAGACAACCACGAAATCATGAGTTCTTCTTAAAAGACATCCCGCACTGTCAAGTGTATGTGAGAAAACACACCTACCAGTTCGTGATTTTTCCCTATTTACAATAATTCATTCGGTGAAATCACGTCAGATTCTATGATTTGTGACAGACAATATAAATTTTTAAAAAAACTGGTAAGTCAAACCAATAACAAGTGAACAGCCCAACAAAACCTAGCGAAAAACATACCTGGTACGTATATATCAACCGGGATAACTCGATCACAGCCACGTAGAACACTATATGAATAATGATAGTAACCACCACCATTAGCGCACGAGCCCATTGAAATAACCCATTTCGGATGATTCATTTGATCGAAAATTCTGCGAAGAGCTGGGGCCATCTTGTTAGTCACGGTGCCAGAGACAATGAGAAGATCAGCTTGACGTGGACTAGCTCGAAAAACAACACCATAACGATCCATATCATAACGAGGCCCAGCGATATGCATCATTTCAACAGCACAACATGCAAGACCGAAAGTGAGGGGATATATTGAGTTCTAATATGTGAAACAATATAGATTAACCTCACTTTTCTAGCCCAGTCTGCCAAATCATCAAGCCGTGTGAGAACATAATCTAGTTTCCCTTGTGGCTTCGGAAAAGGGCTGTACGGTTTATATGGGACGGACTCATCAGAACTAGGAACTTTTGAAGGTTCGCTAAAGATTTATGTAGGAAATTTTACCACTAACCTTGGCTGTGAAGTTGAAAGCCGAGAACTAGATGAATAAATTAGCCTATAGAGCCCGTTTCTACCGCTCAAGGACAACATATTAGAGTAACGCTACGGTCGAAATTGGCGGTTGGGAATGCGAATGAGAATCTTCAAAAGAGTAGTACTAGGTATTTAATTGGAATACTGTTTTAGGTCCTCGATAACATTCCAAGTTTTTGCTTAGATAACTGAAGGATTTTCTCGGGCTACTTCAGATGTTGGCGAATTTCAATAAATGACTGCCCATAGAAAGTAGAATTAGTGCCCTCATTTCATGCTGCTCTGTCAATCCTCTAATTTACGGGTATTTTTCTCTAGGACTTGTGTTTGAACTGAAATAAAGTGATAAATGGAGCATTTAAAACATCATTAGTCTCCAAATAACTGCCTCTGAATCCAATACCTGCTAATGAGTAAAGATCCAGTGATCAAATCTTTCAACTAGAGCAATAACAGATAACGTGAAAAATAACATAGATCCACCATATTTCATGGCTTGTCATCCGCTGCGTTCAACCTAAACATAATTGTTATTAAATATATGCCTGCGTGTTGGAAAATTTTTCACCAGTTAGGAATAATACGAAAAGTAAGTATGGATGAACTATAAGAGATGTTGCGTATGAATATTCATAGGTCTAATATAGGCATATTATAAAATAAAAATCTATAAGCTTTGGAAGCCAATGTCGTAACCATAATACCTTTAAAAGGAAATTAACTAATTAAATACTGAAAAGATAAGAAGCTAGGGTTAATGACTAGCGTCATGAGAAGAAATATATAAGACACATGGATAAAGTCACTACAGCAAAGTAAAATTTACGACTGGATCATTTGTATGTAAAACTTGAACTAAGTCTATTCATTGAAATAACTTCAGCAAACCTTAGTGCACTCAACGTTCTGTGTTTAGCACGTAACTTGAAGAACTCAGTAACATCAATACTACAGCCATTTTTAAGCAGATGGCTTTAGACGTCTTTTTTCATAACCTAAGGCGCTTTAATTCATGAATGGAGGTATGGACACAAACACACTCTTCATTTCTTCTGGTGTATGTCTTTAACACATTTGAACTAGTAGACGCATGCAGAGGTAGCATAAGGCAACGGAGTAATAAGCTTGGTAGCTGGATGTGGGTTGGAGCTCAGGATAATGACACTAATATAATCTGAATAGCCTAAGTCCCAGGCGTGGTTTTGGTGGACAAAGACAAGAGTGTAAATAGAGTCACTATGACCCTACATGATTCACCAAGATTTTCCAAACGAGTGGTGAAATAAAAAATATAATTAGTTGAGCAGAAAGACGAGCTGTGAAAAGGAGCTTCTCAGAGTGAATTTCTGTTACTACTGGGTCATGTTCTTGGACTTGTGGAACAGATTTTCCACTGATGGTTTAACTATCATTAAGTCGCTTTTACTAGCACTTATCTTCAAACTTCCGCTTTGCGTCCATCTGGCTGACTCGTCTGAATAAGCTTGGACATTATGATTCCCACCACCATTCGCTGTTCTCAAGACGTTAAAATCATCTGTGTACAGAATCACTTTCATTCAGGCATCTCCGACAATTATTGACAGAATAAGAGTAATCGTAGGCCTAAGACATGACCATGATATAAGTCACGGTTAACTGCTTTTTATCTCACTATTGCCTCTACTCCCACTTTCTGAGTATGACTGAAAAGAAAACTTCTTGTACAGCCTCCTGGAAGGCTTCGAGATATATGAAGATTCCATAACGTCTAATGGTCTATTTAGGCGCTACATCGATCTTTAAATAGACAGGTGTCAGTAATTGTGAAAGCATTTGTGACAATTTGATCTAGCCTGTAAACTGGCGTGACTCCTGTAAGGTAGTTATTTGAGAATAAATATATTATTATTATTATTATTATTATTATTATTATTACCAACGTACTTCCAAACAAAGTAGGTAAATGTAAGCTCTGTCTTGAAGGGTCGAAATGACAAGCTACTTTTTGTGAAGGTTTCAAAGCCGATTCTGAATAATCCCAACTAGGTAATTAGTAGATTTTTGATTAGAACCCAACATAGCTCTGATCGTATCGAACCATTTATTTGAGAGAGACTGTTGAGCACCAGATTTTATAAGTTTTAAAAAAAAGATTTAGAAACTCCGGAAGTAGGAATTATATCTAGGTTTTTTTCGAAATTATCGTTTAGAACTTCAGCTTACTTCGCAGTTGGATAAGCAAATGATCGCCTCCAACGATATGCTAAAGGAAAATGATGATACGCGTAACTTGAATCTCTCACATCGTATTCAGGAAGTTAATTCAGTTGACTTAATATACCTTCTCCATTTCTTCAGATAGGCTCTCGAAACGTGTTTCATATATGGCGTTTTATTACCAACTTCGAACAAGAATTCTGCTAGACTCAGTAGAGTATAAATCATTAAACGGAGCCCGAATATTTCGTACACTGTTGAGAGACTAGAAGAACAAATTATTTTGTCATGTGTACAAAAACCGAAGGCGAATAGTATTGTGGACCGCGATGTAGCTACTTGAAATTCTACCAACTTTAGATATTCCAGTTCAACCGCAAATGATGTTCACTAAGTCTCCAGTATATCAGAACACAAAACCGTCAGTCGGAAATTATTTATGGGGTCAGAGGTAGGAGAATAATAAGAGTTTACCGACAATGCAGATCTGTACAGTTATGAATATTGGCGAGTAGGAAACGACATGTGAAATATGTGCGAAGTCTGAAAACATGTGACATCATACGAATTCACGATGAAAGATAGAACTGGACTTAAGGGAATAATATTTTGGGATATATTTATGAATATACTAACTTACAGTTTATCACTGTTTGAGAATATTCAGAGTTAAACAGTGCTTCCATCTGCATCACCTTTCAGATCGAGGATACCTAGAGCCAGGTCAAACCAGAAGTCAGAAATGAGGATTGAAAGTATGATAGAATGATGGCTAATATGTAGAGGAGTGAGTGGAATAAGCATGCTATTTGATGCTAGGAGATATGTCGCATTGCGTACCCCACGGTGAATTGATACAGATGAGTGACCGCCCCAGTAAACCGATGAGGTCAGCTTCAGTGTCAAAGACTTGCACAACCATTTATTTTGGGGATTTATTTACCGCTACATGTCTTCCAGTCAAACTAATTGGTATAGTGATAAACCTAATGGAGAAGCTATTGAAGCTGATGTTGAGGGATCAGCAGGGTTTTTGAAAATATTTTTCATATCTAACTAATCTCCCTATTCCAAAGGTAGATTGGAGACTGATCTCTTGCACCGAGTGGTGATTTACCAGAATCCACCAGAGCATTTAGTTTGAAAGCCTTGTCAAGAAAAATGTGTAATGGCGCAAGTCTCGATTGACAATTACGTGCCCGTCACAGGGAAGGATTATTTCATACTAAAGAATTTATTTGCTGGCGATTTCGTGGTATCGAAAAAGTACCGAAATCATGCCAGAAAATGAAGGCGAAACTACAGAGACAGTGAAGCCAAAACGACAGCAACATATACAGAAAATTTGTGCGTACAGATAGAAATAAACAAAGAGGTTCAGTAAGAAAATCACTGGTACAATGAGTTATAATAATGTGTCTAAAAAACCAATCGCGATCTCTTCCTTAAAGTACATTCACTACAAGTGCAAAACGAGTTAAGTTCTTTGCATTGCGGCAAATAACGAAGATAAGAACAAATTTAACCTGTCTCAACAATAACTTTATGAGCGATATCCAAAAATAAAATGCATAACATAGTAAAATGAACTGCAGCCTAACCTAATCTTCGCGGGTGTTCGAGTCCCGTAACCCTCTGAAAAACGAGATTTACCAGGAGTCTTTCAGGAAGAAACTTGACGTATTGTTGGGGAATTGGCAGAGTATTTCATTATGGGTTGCGAATAATTTTATGCCAAATTAAAATACCTAGTTCCTTATCTAGAAGCATCTGTGATCCGACATTAATATATACGGCATCCCATAGAGAGAAAACTTCGTCTCTTTGGTCTGCAACCATTTGAACCGTTTGGTGAACCAAGTTGGCGGGATTTCGTAATACGCGTTGCGCGTTTAAGTGCTCATTGTTAGGTCGATTACTGATGAGCAGCTATGATACATTCCCATTTAAAAGCAATTATCAAGTATCAAACCTACTTGGATCCGGGGCATATGGACGTGTTTTCAAAGGGACATCTTTAAATGGAACGACAGTTGCGTTAAAAGAAATACTGATTCCTACCGATGATGAAGGTATTCCACTGAGTACTCTACGTGAACTTAGTGTGCTAAAGAAAGTGCAGTCTTACAATTGCCCTTATCTCGTACAGTGGGTTCGAAATGTCAACACTATCTTTGTTTTAGAATGCTCGACATCTCATTGAAGAAGCAAGAAACTGGGATATCAATATACATTGTTTTCGAATTTGTTGATTGTGATTTGGCTTATTTTCTTTCACATCATGTGCCATCAACTGGGCTTCCACCTGAGACTATCAGGGTAAGTTCGAGGTTTTATGACTTTATTTACTACACAACTGAGTTGTTACAAACGTTTGCAAATAAATAGACTGTTGAATGTATAACTAATATGCTATTCTCATTATATTAATAATTGGCCAATATAATGGTGCACTACTATATCAGAATTCCGTCTTCATTTTCGGCCTTGGTTGGGAATGAAGACATTTTCTTTATCTGAAAGGAAATCGTTACTCTGATATTTTTTACCTGGTTTCGAAGAAACCTCAGCTGTTGGCTGTGAGTCACCATTACCTTTGACCGCAGTTTACTTAGTTTAAAGATACAAACAAAATTTACATTGTGTACTAAATTTCGTGTTTATGTTACCAATGTATTTGGAAATTTATGTAGATTTATCACCATAGAGTTATATCGTTTTCATGTCGAATTCATCGTCAAAATCTTCAGACAATTGTTCCTTAGACTATAAAATTGTACTAGCCTAGGTTTTCGTAGATGGGTGATTTAGTGGTACAATTTTCACTTAAATTTCAGAGTCAGCCTCAGTACCTACCAGTTGATATAACTATCTGAAATCCTCATGAATATTCAATATTCTAAAGTAAAAAACTTCATAAAACTATTCAAGTCATGAAATTTGAGGCATTTCTGAATCACGATTTCCTACCAATGCTTCAAATATTTGTGTGGGTTCTGTTTAGTGACATCAAACAGGATTATAAGGGTATTTATATCTGCTTTTTACTTCATATAATACTGATCCAGTATAAGCTGTTCAATTTTTCTGTTTATTAATCACCTGAGTTAACTACTCACAATGAACTAGACGTTATGTGTAACTAAGAATTCTTTGTTACTCTTTATTGTAGAATTTATCTGACCAGTTGCTTCGTGGTACTGATTTCCTCCATTCACATCGTATAATTCATCGTGATCTTAAACCTGCTAATATCCTCATCAATAAGGAAACTCTACGCTTAAAAATAACTGACTTTGGTTTATCACGTGTACTTGGTTGGGAGTCTTCACTTACACCAATTGTTGTTACATTGTGGTATCGGTCTCCGGAGATTTTAATTCAATCTGAATATTTATCACCTTGTGATATATGGGCTGCTGGTTGTATCATAGCAGAATTATTTAACTTACAAGCAATTTTCCGTGCAGAAACAGAATTAGAGATGTTAAAACTTATATTTCAGTAAGTTGTGTTTTTTTAGATTTGATAATCATTCATAATATTTTAGAGTTATTGGATTTCCTTCTCAAAATGAATGGCCTGCATTGTCTTATTTAAAAAGATCAAACTTTCAGTTCAACTCTTCTGGTTCAAAACTACGTTCATATATTAACACTAAAGATAAATCGGCACTCGAATTACTTGAAGTATGTTGTAAATTATGTCATTTTCATGCATTGATTACACTCGTATTCATAATTCACATGATATCGTATGTATTTTCCTCTAACGTAAATAAGTTTGTTTTTGCGGAGTAACTCAATAAAGATTCTTAATCAAAAAATGTACTACTAAAATACATTAATGGTTTAAATATCACACATAACAATAGGGTCTACATTTCGTTATTATCAATTTTTAAGGATATGCACTAATCAACTTCATCAACAGGGTATGCAGACAGTTATTCTAAATTTATCCTATCCTATACTCAATAAGTCAAATAGTTTATGCATAACTCGGGTTTACTTATTATTATTTTTATTATTTGAAGCTTGACATGAATGAAAATCAAGTGGTTAAAGCTGTTTCACCTAAAAAAAATACCTTGAGATGACAGGCAGACAGACACAAACAGATACGACGCGGAACTTCGTACGTACGTATATCAGTTCAGGTTGCTATACCACGTCAGCACAGAGACGCAACTGTCAGTTCAAATCCAAGAGTGATAGCAATAATAGAAGTATTAGCAGTAATGGAGAAGATTAGGGAGCGAAGATATGAGTCAAGAAGCATAATTCAGTAAGATGAATTTAGAAAGAGAAAGATAGAGATGAAGAGGAATTCATAAGGTTAGGATTTGAGAGAACACAAAGAGTGGATGCACCTGCACCATTGCAAACGATTTTGAGCCATGTCATTCAAGGTCTCCAACCAACGGCGACTATCGATGGTTACCTTGAAATGAAAAGAATTTATACAATTGATAAAAATTCATTTATTAGAAATAAGTTTTGAAAATCATCTCATATATTATAATGTTATCTAAGGGGGAGGGGAACGAAAACATTTCAAGATAACGACCATTATTTTCGATTCTCATTTGGGCTTAGAGAGGTAGCCTTATTGTTGTAATTGAATTTGTCTTTCAGCCACTAGAATAGTTCCAAAGCTCATTCTCTATTTTAAGCAATTAAATATTACCATTAGAGTTCATACAAAATACAGTTTAAAGTCAAGTTAATAAAAATGTACTTGTTTTAAGATAATGAAGAAGATTTATGCCTCTCAGGTGAATGATTTTGTGAAGTTTTATTCCCTGATTTGGATGGTTTAAAGGTCAATAATAACCACTCAAGACATTATCTTCCAACCCTAATCTCTCCAATTACTGCTCATACTTTTGCTTTATCAATAACTAAGGGATTTGAATTGACAATTGCATCTCTCTGTGTGCTAATATGGTATGGCAACTTAAACTGACGTACGTACGTATGTACGAAGTTCTACGTTTTAGCTGACTGACTAAACAGGGCAAACTCTTATTCATATTGGGATAAGTTCGAATACCTTTCTACGACCTGGAGTTTGTGTTGATTGTTTTGTTCAGGAAAACAATGAAAGCCCCACAATCAGTCAGTCAGTCAGTCAGTTGCAACGTAGGACTTCGTACGTATTTACATAAGTTCATGTTGCCATACCACATCACCACAGAGACGCAAATGTCAAATCAAAGCCCATAGTGATAAAGATAGTAGAGTTATTAATGGTAATGAAGAAGACTAGGGTTTGAAGATATTATTCAAGAAGTATAATTCAGTGAGATAAGGTTAGAAAGACAAAGGTAGAGGTGCTCACGAATCCAAAAGGTTAGGATTTGAGAGAACACAAAGAATCAATGCACCGGCGCCATTGCAAACGATTTTCAGCTATATCATTCAAGGTCTCTAACCATTGGTGACTTTCGTCTCACGGACCCCAACCAGGTAGTCTACATCTATCAAAATGACTCAGTCCACTTGTCAATGACTTCGTGGATTTCTGCCATGTTTTGGTTTGGCCGCCCCTAGCTTTCTTCCAACCTACTCCTACACTACAAAACAAAGCTCGTCGAGGCAGTCGGTGGTTAGGCATTCGTAACACATGTCCCAACCACCTCGATGAGGTTTCACCACTTCATTTATTGATCTGCCATCCTTACAAGCCCCACAATCACTCTTAGTCATATAGTTATATCACTAATTATTATTATTATTATTATTATTATTATTATTATTATTATTGTTATTATCAAATGTATATCAAACCAATGCTCATTGTTTAGTATCTTTTATTATTTCTCTGCTTCAATAAGTATGCTTCAATAAACTGACTATTTTTATCAGATAAAATTAATCGAATAAACTGTGATTTATTGGTTAATGCGTTCAGTTCTTATTCATTAAGTTGCAGTTTCAAGTGGATTATTTCACTGTTCGTCATATCAACAGTGTACTTGATAGGCAAGTTTACAATCCTACAATAACTCACTGCTATTGGTCAACCAAACAGCTTGGCATTGTGTACCATCCTAATTTTATTTAGCACTAGATATCAGAAACTCAAATAATTCAAATAGTTTTAAACTGTGAACTTTTCACAGCAACAGCCGGCCCAGTGGTCCGATGGTAAGGCGTTCGCCTACAACGCCAAAGGTCACGGATTCGAATCCTGCAAGGAACAGGAGTCGTGGATGCGCACTGCTGATGATTCCCATACCAGGACGAAACTGTCGTCCAGTGCTTCCAGGTTTCTGATGGTGGTCTAAAAATGATTGATTGATGATTTCAAATTAAATTAGTTCATATCATATTAACGTATCCAGTGAATAATTTTAATTTTATATTCTCTTTGTATAACTACTACTTTCCAGTGTACATCATGCATCATAATTTGTATTCTACATTCAATATGTATATATATGTATGTATATTTACAGCTAATGATTCAATTCAATCCAAGAAAACGAATCACTGCTTTCGATGCCCTCTCACTACCATATTTTCATCCAACCACCGTTGTTAGTAGTACTAGTAGCACTAATCCTATCGATCGATCCATTCAAAATAATATACAACATATTGAAACTGCATTGCATAAACCATTATTAAAAAGTGCCACGTCAACTCGACCGCCAAGTGGACGACAAACTCGTTATTCCGTCAATACCATTCATTCTACACAATCATGTACAACTGCGCTATCTTCTTATTTCCAGCATCATTTACCTGCCACAATGAATTTTCGACCTAATTCTGTTGGTGTTGGTGGCGGTTGTATGGATGAAGTGGATGGTCGTATTCCAACATTGACAAATCATGCTCAACTTATACCTCATACCACCACGACGACCACCGATCAGTCATCAATGAGTCATTCATCTTCTATGCCTACAACTAATCAACAACAACTGATTGTCACTTCATGTAATCCGCATGATATTGACCAACATCAACGTAATTTAATAATATCCGTTGTAAATAATGCTATCAATGAGAATTCATCATCATCATCAGCAGCAGCAGTACCTGTATTAACTAATATTCAACAAAATTCTATTACAACACCATCACCACTACCACCTAGAAGACCATTAACTAGACAACAAACTAAATCAATTCGACGGCATACACAACCTACTAGAAATTGTCTTACAGAAATGAATTGCCAAAAAAGTACAAATCAAAAATCATATAAAAATTCCAATGAATTCTTATTATCAGATAATATATCTGTACAAAAATTAAATAATACAACAGATCCATTGAATGTAACGAATCATGTAGTTCGGCAGAAAAAAACAGCTCGTCGTCGAACAGTCATGGGTGTTGTAGAGGTAAGAATTGTTTGTTAATCAGCTTTCGAATATTATCTGACTGTATACGTTACCTTGATGTGGTGGCGAATTGGGCTTGTCTATCCATGTTAACCCAACCGAGATATGTTGGCTGGAACATATGTTCCTTGAGGTTCTACCATATCAAGTACCCGACTGTAGCTGCTACCTTGACGTGATGGTCGAGCTTGCTTATCGTGATGACCCAACCGAGCTATATTGTCTGGAACATATGTTCCTGAAGGTTCTACCATATCAAGCAAGTAGTAGGTTTATTGGAGAACGGTAAAACTAAAGGCAGCAACTCAAGATCTGAGGGCGAAGTCTAACTTCTGACTGTGGAGGGGTATGACAGGATTTAGGTGTTGCTCTCGGACAACCAGCATATGCAGCGATGCTGCCTTCTCATATGGAAGGAAGGGTTATAAAAGGTCGACTTTAAAAATGTCACACTTCAGTGTACCTCATAGATTTCTATCTCCGGCGCTAAGGCCATTTAAAGAAAGGAGCTAACACTTCATAAACTTCCTTTATCAAGGCTCTGCGTGAACAGCCTCAAACAGTTGTCCCTAGGCGTCCACAGTTACGCTCCCAAGTCTCTGAGACCAACAATAATCGAGTTTTCTTTTTAGGTTTCTCTAGAAATACCCTTCCACTGTGTGAGCAACCGGGGAGTGACATCCGCCCTCATATCCGCAACAGCATATGAGATATCCGTGACGACTGACCTTCAAATTAAATATGTGATTCTTAAAAATCACTCCTAAAATCAGTTCCGATGTTAAGATTATGCATTCGATTTGTTTTGATATGCTTTGTTTACTTCAGCGAAATACTTTTCGGAAAAAGGTATTTAGCTAATCATAAACAACATGGAACCTAGCACAAATGTGCATCATCCTGAGTGTTGCCATATCATATCAACACATTGAGTTAAGATCATATGGATAAATACCAAAGAACTAATGTTAGTATCAGTGAATACATCTGCCACATTGAAACCAATGCTGAGCCATGTCACTTTAATTCTCCAATCATTGATTACAACAATCATGTGGACTCCAACCAGATTATCTACACCTGTTAACATGACTTAGTTCGATTGTCAAGGACTTTTGGGTAAATGCAACAAACTGCTTTATGAGGCTGATAATCTCCATTGATTGAAGGAGCTATGATATGTATTACATATATCTAACCACCACTTACCACGACGCCCGACGCTTACTGATGTTGGAATAGGTTAAAAGAAAGCTAGGGATAGCCAAACCAAAACGTGGCACCAGTCCATGTAGTCACTGATAATTGATCTGAGTCATGTTAATATGTACAAACTACGTGGTTGGGGTGCGCTTGATAATCGTAACTAATAGTTAGAAACTTTGAATGACATGGCTCAAATTCGTTTGGAATCTCGTGGGTGTATCCATCCTTTCTCAGATTGAAAGTTCTAAATTCCTGATAAATTTTTTATTTATTGCTTTCAGTGTTTTATATCTCCTCGAATCTTCGATATGATATAAATTCTAACTAAACATATTATTCAAATCGCGAATCGATGTATGCTAGACCACCATTAGAAACCTAGAAGCACTATACGGCCAGTACGTTCTAGTATGGAATTCATAAGCAGTGCACATCCACGGCCCCGCAAGCGTGAATCGAACCCAGAACCTTCGCTCCTGCGTTCCAATTCCTAACCTCTTGACCACTGGTCTGGTATCCAGTGTTTTCAGGTTTCTAGTAGCGATCTAACATTGGTCGATTCATGACTCCAGTGAGACTGAACACATTTTGTCTTTGAAATTAGGTTTATTGTTGCACCAATTATTGCATAGATTTGCGTTCTCTCAAATCCTAACCTTCTGAATTCCTCACTAGATTCTGCTTGTTGAATAATATGCTCGATTAGCAGCGACACCATAAGATCCATCCAGCTGTCTCTCCTTTTCACTCAGTCTGCCTACTTAAGCAATAAAATCACCAGCCATTATTACTATATCAGAGCGCCTAACTTTTTGGAGGAGGTCCGAAAGCTTTCTGTAAAACTCATCTTTCATCTCGTCTGAACTGCAGTCAGTGTGAGCGTAGGCAGATATGACGAAGAGGCAATGGCGAGTTTCCCTATCTTTTGCGAGTCCTTACTGTCCCGTTTAGTCGGACAGCGCATAGGCGACCGCCTACCGGGATCCAGTCTGAGAGATCTAGTTCTGCCCTAGGACTTAATAATATACCTACACCAGCGAGGCCACGGGAAGCAGCATCAGGGCTACCGGAAACATGAACGTACACCTTGTTGTTTCTCTATCTGCACAAGATGAAATCAAATTGATGATTTTGCTCGAATCTTTTATGCGCGCTTCGGAGACGCAACATACATTGATTGCATGGGATTCCAAAGTTCTAGCTAATGTAGCTTGTCGACCTATTTGGCATAGGGTTCGAACATTAAGAACTCCAATATGTAGTTTAGAGCGGAGTTTCAGGAAATCTAAGTTAGAATATGGGAAGTGGACGTAATCCCATCTGATTGGTCTCAATCACTGGTTACCTCAATTTATAAGAAAGGACAAAAGTCCTCTTGTGACAATCACAGGGGAATCAGCCTAACTAATATACTATCGAAAATTTTGGTCTCAGTAATACTCCGACGCCTAACTAGAGCTTGTGAAGAGCAGACTCGATAAAACCGGTCTGGTTTTCGACCTGAAAGTGGATGTATAGTCCAAATATTCACACTACGTCAGGTTCTAGAACATGGACACTCGTTCTGACGCCCCACAATAGTAGTATTTCTCAACCTTAAAGCTGCATTCGACTCTGTGGATCGTGAGGTTCTGTGGCAGTGTATGTCATTAAAAGGGTGTACCAAAGAAGTTTAAACAAGCTCTCTACTCGAACACCGCTGGTCAAGTTAGGGTTTATAGCTAACTATCATCTAAATCCTGTACTTCAAGTGGTGTCCATCAGGGATGTCCACTTTCTCGATTCCTGTTCAGCTTAGTCGTAAACATGCTTTTAGAGTTATCTTTATCTTCGTTTGACGATTCAAGTGTGAACCTTCCACCAGGACACACGCTTGCTGACTTAAGATATGCCGATGATATAGTTCTACTTGGTGAAGACGCTGACAAAATGCAGAATTTTCTGACCACCCTAAGCAACAATGCAATCATATTCGAGATGCGATTTCCCCCCTCGAAATGCAAAATGTTGCTTCAGGATTGAGTCGCATCGGCACCTGAACTAGTGATAGGAAGTGAAGTAGTCGAGCGTGTTGACCGCTCTACTTATCTGTGCAGTCTCATCAGTGCTGATGGCCTGTTTTGTGACGAAATCTTAGCGCGGATACAGAAAGCTCGATAGACTTTTGCCAACCTGCATCACTTATGGCGTAGGCGAGATATCCGTTTGCTAACCAAAGGACGAGTCTACTGTGCAGTAGTTCGCTCCGTCCTACTGTACGGATGCGAGACTTGGCCGTTAAGAGTAGAGGACTTCCGTAGGTTACTAGTCCTCGATCATCGGTGTCTCCGAAGCATTACTCGTGTATCATGGGAAAACCGTATAAGCAGTGCTGTCGTTAGGAAACGAGTACTAGGCAGGGACGTCATATCAATAGATAGAGTATTGGAACTTCGTCAGTTGAGGTCGTTGAAATATGTGTAACGTATGCTCGATCGCCGACTGGATCGACGAACGATGTTTTGTCGTGTAGGAGTAGGTTAGAAGAAAGGTATGGGTGGCCAAATCCATGAAGTCACTGACAAGTGGACTTAGTCATGTCGGTAGTTGTCGACTACCTGGTTGTGGTCCACGAGACTATAGTAATCGATGGTTGGAGACCCTGAATGACATGGCTCACAACCGTTTGCATTGATGCAGGTGCATTCGTTCTTTGTGTTCTCTCAAATCCTAACCTTATGAATTCCTCATCATCTCTATCTTTCGCTTTCTAAAGTTATCTCACTGGATTGTACTTCTTGAATAATATCTTCGAACCCTAATCTTCTCCATTACCGCTGACACTTCTATCCCCACCACTGTTGGATGTGAACTGACAATTGCATCTCTGTGCTAATGTGGTGTGGCAACCTGAACTGATGTACTTACGTACGAAGTTCTACGTTGTAACTGACTGACTGACTGACTGATAGACTTGTAAATACTTTGCCATTTATTGATCAACCAACTTCGATCTAAAATGTTTCTTTGCTGATAATAATCATAATAATAATATTGTATTTGTTCATTCTTCTTATAGACAACCAATTCTTCAACCAAACAATTGAAGAAAATCGAACCAACCAATAGAACAACACGAAAACCTAAAGAAACTACACCTCTCCTTATACATACAAGAATGCCTATTAGTAAAGTAGACAATCCCATTCATCATATTGACACTACGTCTGCTTTACCTTATGTATCACTTAGTCGAGAAGAGATTTGTCATCATAACTCACCGGTTAGTGTTATTCCTACCACTACTGCTACTAGTGCTACTGTTCCTGGTGCTACTACTGCTGCTGCCACCAGTGTTACTCTTAATGTTGAAACAGATTTACTTAAATCAAAAGAAACACCTGTAAATAATTATCAAATTTCACAACCTACTACTACTACGATGACGACCACGGCGTCGGCGGATCCTTGTCCCTATCATCGTCGTCAACAACAGCGTTATTCTCAATCGATTCGATCTAATGCACGATATTCCCTTGGACCTTCTACATCGTCATCATCATTACGCTCTAATAATCACAATAGTAATAATAATAATAGTACTTCAATGTTACATTCAATTCATGAATATGAACATTGTCCCGACGATACTACTCATATCACTACTAATACTACTATTAAAACTACTACTTCTATTACTACTACCACTACTAGTAATAATAATAACAGTCATAAGAGAAAAACAAAGGAAAAGAAACCAATTGAAGAAAGTAACCCCCCACAATCACTATCCAATCATGATAATATTGAGAATTATTGTTTCCCAATAGAGAATAATGTTAATAGTAGTAGTGGTAGTAGTAGTAGCAATAGTAGTATTAACCTAGTAAAACATCCATCACCATCAACCGCTGCTCCAATCAACACATTATGTTCTCCTTCAAAATTAGCTCGTGTCACCAGTTCATTGAATCCCTTGAATTATGCACAAACACAAACTACCGATCATTTTATCAAACAAGATGATATTATCATTGATGAAGAAGAGGATACCACAGAAGATGGCGATGAGGATGATGATGACATTGATTCAGATGGTGTGGATGAAAATCAACCGGCTAATACAAGTCTTGGTATTAATACAGCTATGACTGGTTTGGCATTGGTGAATAGTCATAGTAGCAGTAATTCTAGTCAATACAAGAATAGCAATACTACTAATAACAATACTAACGTTAGTAGTACTGTAAGTAGTTGTAATAATAGTACAAATAAAAAGGAAACTGACAGTAATCATTCCATGTTGACAGTAACCACAACTACTGATAAAATTGTTAGTAGTAGTGAACAAGTGAGTGCAAGCATGCCTATCTTGTCAAGCAGTGTTACAATTCAGCTGACATCTTGTTCCTTAGATAATTTATTGTTTAGTAAATAAATGGAAATCCGCATGCTGAGATCATTAATGATTATTTTCATTTTGTATTTAATAATAATAATAATAGTAATTATTATTATTATTATTTAACAGTGTTTGCATTTCTTGCCCTCCTTTCTACTTTGATTTATTCAAGAACAGAGAGAGAAAGAGACACTTATACACACACAGTGCATTTTATGCGATTCTCAAGTGTCGCTTCGTTTCTACGTTTTCCACTCTCTATCTCAACAAAAATTTGGTGCGCACTATTGGCTTTTTTTGGTATGATTTATATTTTTAATAGTGCATTTATTGGTCATTGTGACACAAATACTACCTGCTGTTTGTACTAGTCAATAGTACTACTACTTATTACTAGTAGTAATAGTAGTCGTTTTTATATGGAGTAATTTTTTTTAAAAATTATTATTATTATTAATATTTTGTACAATTATTTTTCTAAAATTATTCGTTAACACTCGGTGGTGCCTTTTTATTTTTTCCTTTCCACACGATTACATACCATATTTTTTTGGATACATCTATATTTGTGTTTGTTTATTTACTGTGCCTTAAGTATTATTTTGTTCCCCCTGAAAGATTTTCCACTGTCATCGACCAAGAGATTAGGCATTCTTATTCTATTTTGTACTATTTTTTTTCATCCACTAGAATGACTTACTTATATATTCCGACTACAATTAGGATTATTGATGATGATGATGATGATGATTATTTTATTACGACTTATTTTGTATTATCAATGTTCTTAACAACAACAGTAATATTAATAATAGTAATAATGACACTCCTCCTCCTGTTTTCTTTCGGTTGTGTTCCCTATCGCCTTCATAATTCTTTTTTTTTTTTATGGTTCTTGACCAAAACAAATTGTCAAACGAAATTAAATTTCCTTGTCCAATTATGATGTAAGAATGCTCAAATTTATTATTATTATCATTATTATTGTAGTAGTAGTAGTAGTAGTAGTAGTAGAAGTAGTAGTAATAATAGTTTTCTTTTTCTGTGTACTTCATGTACTTTATTATCATCATCAAAAAAACTGCATTTTTGATATATTTTTTTTTTAAAATTGTGTGTGATAAAGTTGACAATGAATGTGTGTTAATCATGACGATGTTAAGTGATGGTGATGATGAGAATGATTTGTGTTGTAATAGTAATTCAAATGATAATTTAAAAAAATGAAAAGTGTAAGAAAGATGAATAAATGTTTGTCCTACCATAATGGATTTCTTGTTTCATTTTGTTGTAGTTGTTGTGTACGAATTCCAGTACGTAATGGTTGGTCGTCGTCAACTTGTGCTCCTTTGGTTGTTGTTGTTGAAAAGAAATTTTTTTTATAAAAATAGAAATTCTTCAATGTGAATAAAATGAAAAATAAGTTATGATAATTGAAAGTATAAATGATAGGAAGTGCTGATGAGTTTTCGATGGTAGTGAAAAGAAAGCTGTGTCCGACCTAGGTTTCATGCTAGTTGGTACTCGTCTACAGGGAGCACCTGTAGTCTTGATTGAACTGACTCTGCTTGTAAGATTTGGATTCGGTTTATCAAACTTGATGATTTGAGACGTTACCACTAACCTCTTTGGGATACGACTAGTCCTTTACAATGAGGCGTCTCATACACCTTTCTAAAAAGCGTGAACTATCATGAAACCTATATTCAACGCTTCCTGTTGACTAGCTCAAACCACCGGACATCTCAACGCAGTGTCGTCCGCATTGCAACCGGATTTATAGCATTCGACTAGCACTAAAGACTGGTCAAGTGGAACATTGTTTTCTACTTTGTGATTAATCAGTTGTAAGCTGTCGTGATTATTTCCAGTCAGCTAATCTCCATACAGTTCATTAGGATTCATAAACGGTTAGAGCTTGATATCGACTACTAGTCGATGATCTGTTCGTGTAGTAAATTACTCAGTGATTATCCAGATGCCTATGTGACAGCATCTGTCACTTTGATACAAAGTTCAACGGACAACTTATATTTTCAAAAATTAAATCCCCTACCGATTAGTTCCAACTATTATCGAAAATCATAGATAATCCATTGTGATTTTAATTCAGTTAGACTAATTGTCACACATTACATACTGAGTTGATAAACTCTTATCACTTATGTAAAGACGACTTAGAATATGCCGATGACATAAACATGCTTTTGGAGATAACATCTTCGTCGGACTTTTCAGGCGTGGACCTTCTAACAGGAGACTCGCTTGTTGACATAAAATATGCCGATAATGTAGTTCTACTTGGTGAAGATGCTGACAAAATGCAGTCTTCTGACTACCCTAAGCAACAATGCAAGCATGATTAGGATGTGGTTTTCCCCCCTCGAAATGCAAAATTTTGCTTCAAGATTGGCCTGCGACGGCACCCAAACTAGTAATAAGGAGTGAAGTAGTTGATCGCTTGATTTATCTGGGGAGTCTCATCAGTGCCGATGGCCTGGTGACTGACGAAACCTCAACACGGATACAGAAGGCTTGAATGGCTTTTGCCAACCTTCGTCACTTATGGCGTGTGTACTGTGCAGTAGTTTGCTCCGTCGTACTTTATGGCTCTCAAACATGGCCAGTGAGAGTAGAAGATATTCGTAGGTTACTGGTTTTCGATCATAGGTGTCTTCGAAGCATTGCTCGTGTATCCTGGTACAACAGGGTGAGCAACGCTATCGTTAAGAAACGATTACTAGATAGGGCTTACAGATCATTAGATGAAATACTGAAACTTAAGCAATTCAAGTTGTTCGGACATGTGTTGCTTATGCCTAACCGCCGACTGCCTTGTTTTTCTGATGTTTTGTGATGTAGGAATAAGTTGGAAGAAAGTTAAGGGTGGCCAAACCAAAACATGACAGAAATTTATGAAGTCACTGACAACATGTAGGTAAGTGCAGACTAACTGTTTGGTATCCGCGAGACGATAGTAATCGATGGTTAGAGACCTTGAATGACATGGCTCAAAACCATTTGCAATGGCGCAGGTGCATCCATTCTTTGTATTCTCTCAAATTCTAATCTGAATTCCTCATTACTTCCTCACTACATATTATCATACTTATAAAAAGTTATATTTGTTTATCTATCGTTATTATGACGCAAATCTCAGTCATCTATAACGTAAAGCAGCCTATAGTTACTTTAATAATTTGTGATTAACGGAGTATCAAATTTTCAATTGTCTAATTAAATATGAGCTGTAATAACGTTTTAATGTGTGTTTCCTCTAAACCACAAGGATGCTGTTGTGACTAGATGACAAACCAAGTGTGACGTGTAATCTGGAGTATCTGTTCGAGTTGCCACACTACATTAACACAATGACAAGAAATGATGAAGTTAAATATTAGATTAATGATAGACAATATTCAGTACTATGCTTTTCAGCCATGAACTTTCAGGTTCGAATCCATTGCTCACTAACTATTTCACTTTAGGCACTATCTATCTATCAAATTACATTAGATAGAGTACTATGGAACGATATTTCAATTAATCGAAATACAAGAATGTATGGTTGTTTGTTGTTGTATGAGAAAGTTGCAAAACTGACCAGTTATCTCTTGACCCGACCATAGATGCTACCTTGACGTGGTGGTCAAGCTTGCCTATCGTGATGACCCAACCGAGCTATATTGGTTGGAACATATGTTCCTGAAGGTTCTACCATTCCAGGCAAGTCGATTGGAGAACGATCAGACTAAAAGCAGCCACTCACTCTGTGGGCGAAGTCGTTCTGCTGACTGTAGAGGGGTGTGACAGCAGTAAGTTGTTTCCCTCGGATAACCGGCATCTGCAGCGATGCTGCATTCTCACAACAAAGGGTTAGAGAATGTCGACCCTGAAAATGTCACAGCTCACTCTACCTCACGGATTTCTGTCTCCGGCTGTAAGGGCTGCCCATTAAGGGCTTTTAAGAGCGGAGCTAATACTCAAAAAACCTTTCATCAAAAGGCCGTGCGTGACCGGCCTCAAACAGTTGTCCCTTGGGCTCTGCGACTACGCACCCAGGTCTCTAAGACCAACTCTAATCCACCTTCCTTTTCATGTCCCTCAAGAAACAACCTTCCACGGTGTGGGCAGCCGCGAAGTGACAACTGCCCTCATACCCGTAACAGCACATGAGTTATCTCTTAAGAAAAACGCTTTCTAATAATAAACTTCAAAGGCAATCATCAACGTTATTCTGCAAGCCTTGTCACGTCAATAATGTAACTTTGGAATATATTTAAACAAATAATTCTATATACCGCTGTTTAACATTGATAAATCTTTATTCAAAATTACTAACCACTTAATGAAAATCCTGAAGCGTGTAAATCTCGATTACCCCGAATTGTACGCATATGAATTGATGATGACGTATGACTGGATAGATTTTGAGAATTTTCAATGTTTGTTTGTTCAGAATTATGATTCGGTAATTTTGAAATTGTGTTTATTTCTTCAGTGAAATCATTCAATGTCCAAGGTTCACGAATAACGGGCATTTGATTTCTTTTACGTAACTAATAAAATTAATTTTGTATAGATTTTAAAAAAAGTAAAATTAAAATAATAATAATAATAATAATAATATCAACAACAACAATTTTCGGTATATGATTGTTAAAGAGTCCAATATTAAAGTGATCAATGTGTCCCATACTCACTGTCTTTCAGTGATGTTACTTACATACGTCTGTTACCCTTAATCGAGCGTAGGCCGCCAACCAGCATTCTCTAATCAACTCTGTCCTATGCCTTCCTTTCCGATTCTGTCCGATTGCTATTCGTTCTTCTCATATCTGCTTCCAGTTCTAGGCGTAGTGTGTTCTCTGATCTTCTTCTCTTCCTTTGGCCTTGAAGATTCCAAATGAGGTTTTATCTTGTGACACAGTTGGGTGCTTTCCTCAATGTGCGTCCTATCCATCTTCAGCGCTTTTTCCTAATTTCTTTTTCAGCTAAAATCTGCTTTCATTTATATACTCTGATAACTCGTTATTGAAACTTAGTTATTTTTGTGTAATTGTTCAGTATAAGGAATTTAAATCAGTCACTCCGCTGGGTTTACTACCGGTCACAGGCCTGAATAAAGGAGGAGGAATGGGTATAGAGTTAGTGACCCTATCCCTTTGAGAACTAGCTCGTTAAAACAACGCTATCCAGAAAAAATAATTCAAATTATGCCACAGAAGTTAGGAGGTCTTCATGTAGAAGAGTTATGACGTCTCATGATGAAAGCCAAGTTTCTTCGAAAGTCACGAGGAAGATGCCCCTTCTGACAACTTAAGCAATCATTATTTATGAGTACATGTAATTGGATAGCACAGAAAATCAAGGCCAAAGACATAGTAGGTTGGAGAGTGCTGGTTGGCGCCCTACACTCCACTAGAAATAACAGATGTAAGTAGCTTAGATCATTCGATAATTCACCAAATATCAATACAAACTACTTAATTATACTACTGTTTATTATAGGGTTATGGAGATGTGAAATGTGAATCAATCGTTGTTAGACCACCAATAGAAACCTGGAACCACTAAAAGTGCGACCGTTTACTCCTGGTATGGGACTGGCTCATCAGCAATACACATCCACGACTCCTGCTACCCATAGGATTCGAACCCAAGCCCTTAGGTCCTGCGTGAACGCCTCACCTCTGGACCATTCGGCCTACAGCCGACAGTGTTAATGTTTAACTCTGATCAATCTAGAGATTTCGCGCGACCTCACCCATTTGTCCTCAGTATTTATTGCCTACACCAGACAGGGTTGAACTCCACTTGGTGAGTCCCATACCAGGGCTAATATTACGGTTTCACATTTCAATGTTTATACAATTGCCAAAATGCTACCAACTAATTTCATTTTAAACATTAAAACAAAAGTCTGCCTTTTTTTTTCTAAATCACTTACTCTTTCAGATGCATTGACTAAATTATAAATAGGTGAAGGAAATAATTTTCCTTTTTGTATCCTTCCACATGGTTCATTCGTATGAATTTCATTTGAATTATTATTCAATAGAATGCCTTTGAAATTATTATTATTATTATTATCGTCATTTTGTTTTTTTTCTATAAGATGACCATTGTATGCGATCAATTTCCCGCGATGAATAACTAAGATTGGACATTGAATAGTCGTCGAATGAATCGGATTTTCATTTGGCCATAAAATTAAATCAGCATCTGATCCTGGTTGTAAACATCCTTTATTTGGATATAATCCAGAATAACGTGAAGCATTAGTTGATGTAAGATTGACAAATGTTGTAGCATCTAACCATCCTGATGGCTAAAATAATCACACACACACACACACGCACAACAAAATTGAAAGAAGGATATTGATTTAATGTTTGCGTGTTATTCTGTCACTTTTTTATTTACACATTTTTGAAACCATGAATCGATCAATGTTAGACCACCATTAGGAACCTGGAAGCACTGGAGGGCCGTTTCGTCCTGGTATGGGAATCCTCAGCAGTGCGCATCCACGACTCCTACACCCCGCAGGATTCGAATCCAGGACCTTTTATTTCTTATGAACTGTTCTATCTGTGATTTATGCAGTCGGTCAGTGAGTCAGTCAGCCCGACCTTAGCTGCTTCGTTGATGTGATGTTTAGGCTTGTCTTTCGTGGTGACCTAACCAAGCTATATTGGCTGGAACATATGTTCCTTGAGGTTCTACCATACCAAGTAGGTCTATTGAAGAACAGTAAAACTAAAAGCTACAACTCAAGGTCTGAGGACGAAGTCGTACTGCTGACTGTGATGGAGGGATGTGACAGCAGTAAGGTGTTTCCCTCGGACAACCAGCATGTGCAGCGATGCTGCCTTCTCACCAGGAAGGTAGGGTTAGAAAAGGTCGACCCTAAAAATGTCACACTGTGTGTGAGCTACTTATAAGTAGTATATGACGTGAGTGTCAACGTAATGTCTGGCAGCAGAAGATGGGGGAAGATCAGGAAAGGAAGAGTTAGAAAACAATGGAATTTGTATGAAATGCATGAATAGTGACAATGGATTGATGTTTTGCAACAGGAACAGTCCAGTTCGATATGATGGAGTGATATTTTGCAAATTAACGATTTACGATATGGTTTTCCGATTTTACTGAGTAACTCTGTAATTTTCGGAAAAATACAATTCGGTTGCCCTACCTGTGTTCTCCTTCACTACAACACCTCACTTTACCTCACGGATTTCCGTCTTCGGAGGTGAGGTCTTTCAAACAAGAGCGGAGCTACTAACTTAAAAACTTCTCATAAAAAGGGCGTGTGTGATCGGCCTCAATCAGTTGTCCGTTGGGCTCTGCGGTCACACTACCAGGTATCTAAGACGAACGTCTATTCAAACTCTTTTCAGATTCCTCAAGAAACACCCTTCCATGGTATGGGCCGCCTGGAAGTGACATGCACCTCTTATCTCCACGACTATCCCTTCTCCCATTCCTTTATTACCCGTGAAATATGCACCTTTTTATCAGAGGCTAAGTGTACAACAATAAAATACAGTAGATGGTGTAATTATAGTTTCAATTAAGTGTGTCGCTGCGTAATCTAAAACTTAAGATGTAAGTGTTTTTTTCATCGAAAAAGAAACCGTATCAAAAATTAGTTTAAACTGTTTTAGCAAGTATTATATACTACTCATTTGTGGATAGAAAATTATTCGTAATCAGTAGTTTTCAAGATTTCAAATGATTATATTTGTCATATTTAAAAAATTGAATGGTTTAAGTGTGTGGTGCGAGCTACTTATAAGTAGTATATGACGTGAGCGACAACGTACTGTCTGGCAGCAGAAGATGGGGGAAGATGAAGAAAGGAAGAGTTAGAAAACAATGGGATTTGTATGAAACGCATGAATAGTGACAATGGATTGATGTTTTGCAACAGGAACAGTCCAGTTCGATATGATGGAGTGATATTTTGCAAATGAACGATTTACGATATGGTTTTCCGATTTTACTGAGTAACTCTGTAATTTTCGGAAAAATACAATTCGGTTGCCCCACCTGTGTTCTCCTTCACTAAAAGTGTTATATTCTTCTCTGAATACTAACCGGTAGGTGTTATAAAGCGTGGTGTACACAATGTGAACGCGATACATGCTAATTCCCCCAAGTCAGTCAGCTACAATGTTCGAACTTGATAGGCACGTACATCAGTTCAAATCGCCATACCACATGAGCATATAGAGATGTTCTTGTCGATAAAAATGCCGTAGTGGTAGATGCGGTAGAAGTATCAGCGGTAATGGAGAAGATTATTCAAGAAGTATAACCCAGGCTGACCGTTTCGTCCTAGTATGGCACTCATCAGCAATGTGCATCCACGACTCCTTCTAATAGCAGGACTCGAACCCAAGATGTAACAAAACAATCTTCACATCTCTTTAATGTAAAATTTTTATTTCACAAATCTTATCAAATATATATATATCAATCTAATTTAACATAACTTACCACTCCATTTTCCCATATTGTTATTAATCTTTGTTGAATTGTTTGTAAATGATTATTAGTTAAATTTTCATTTGTATCAACAATATTCAACGGATCACTTGAAATGAATTTAATATCACCATTTGTTAGTAAATGTAAAAATTCACTATCAGTTTGCTGTAGATACATTCGTGAATGATTATTGTATAAAACAAATCAAAAAATGATTCATTTTTGAGTTCAAGTTAAAACAACGAGTTCAATAATACTGTAATGCAAAATTTGAAAAAAAATGTACTCACTAATGACTATAGTAGCTTCGTGAGGAATCTTCTCCAAGTTCTAGTGAGAACACGTGACCAGTGGAGTTCAACTCTGTCGGGTGAAGACAATTACCTACCGAAGACAATGGGTTAGGTTGTGTAAAATCTTTATATTAGTCAGAGTTAGAGGTTGACACCTTCGGATGCCGGCCGACCCAGTGGTCTAGAGGTTAAGCGTTAGCGAGCAGGACCAAAGGTCATGAGTTCGAATCCCGCAAGTAGCAAGAGTCGTGGATGTCCATTGTTGACGAGTCTCATACCAGAATGATAAGGCCGTTTTAATGGTGGTCTAACATAATTTCAAGGTCAAATCATGATGGATAAACGAGAAAATGCGAATATGTATAATTCACAATGACTAATTAAGTAAGTTGAGTAAGCAGAAGATAATATCTTAGGTGTATATTCGGTGTTTATTGAAATACTAAAAAGCTTGTCCTAATTGTAACACCAAACTGAGTCATCCAAATGCCCTGGTGTATGGCTGAGAGTGGGAAGAGTACACTCTAACTTTCCAAATTCTTTCAGACGAGACCACCCACATATGTAAACTCACTGTCATGAAAGTCCCTCCCACTGCTTTCTCATGAATGTCGTATTCTTTACAAAATCCAGAGGACAAAGGGTGAATATCTTACCGAGCTAAAAACCTGGTTGGTGGGTACGCAGAATCAGTGTAGGGGAACTGGAAAACCATCATTCAAAACCAATGACTTACATGAGCTCGAGGATTCTGAGGGAATAAATGGCATATGGTGACCGGCAAACATGAGACTGAATCTTTTGACTTCACTATACTTCTTTGTGGATTAGACTTGTAGTTTAAGGTCTCGTGAAATGGTCTACTATGAAAACCACGTGTTTTGGTTTAGGCAGGCTGACAGTATTTCAGTATCTCACTCATGAATTCAATAGTTTGTGTGCCTCTATCTATCAATAATTATGTGTTTAAATCAAATAAAATACAGACAGATTTATTCATTATTCAGTTCGAAATCTTTTATTTTGTTTGTTTGAGCTAATGACATGATTCAAAATCGTTTGAAATGATAAAGATGCATCGATTCTTTGTGTTCACTCAAATTCTAATCTTCTAAATTCCTTTTTGATCGTTTATTGCTCTGTTTTTAAATTCATTTCACTAGGAAATATTTCTCGAATTATATCTTCGATTGTCGTTATTGCTTCTGCTACATTTAACTACTATGGAATTTGAATTGACAATTCGAATTCGGCTCAGTGGTCTAACAGTTAGGGCGTTCGCGCACAATGCCGAAGGTCCTGGGTTCGAATCCTGCGGGCTGCAGGAGTCGTGGATTCGCACTGCTGAGGAGTCCCGCACCAGGACGAAACGGCCGTCCAGTGTTTCCAGGTTTCTAATGGTGGTCTAACATTGATCGATACATGGTTTAAGAAATGTGTTATACTGAAGTGAAGTACGTTCACCTTAAGTTATACTGTGCAACTAACTATCTGACTGACTGACTGACTGCACTCTATGTGAGGTAATTGAAATTAAACTAATTTTAACCGGCGATCGAATTATTACATTATTTCACTAATCTAAAAATAACTGAAAACTAATTTGTTAGGAGTTCAATATCAAAAACAGATATCAACCAAATTATAAGTGAATTTTCAATACAAATGCCAAGACACTTCTACTGTATGAGGCGGAAATTTGGAGAACCATGATAACCATCATTCAAAAGATACAAGTGTTTATTAACAGTTGTCTACACAAAATACTTCGGATCCTCTAATCCAGACACTATCACCAACAACCTACTTTGGGAGAGAACAAACCATATTTCAGTAAAGGAAAAAATCAGCTGGAATCGCTGGAGTTAGATAGGATACACATTGAAGACAGCAACCAACTACGCCACAAAACAATCCCTCACCTGGAATCCTCAACGCCGAAAGAGAAAAGGAAGATTGAAAAACACTTTTCACTGATAAGAATGGACAACAAATGGATAAAACTAGAAAGAAAGGCCCAGGACAGATGTGAGACAGTTATCCACACAAGACAATGAATAATGTCGAACAGTATTGGAGATTGATTCAAGTTAGATACCAACATTGTTTGATCCCGGGTCAGTGAACTAGAGTTTAAGAGTTCGTGTACGAGACCGAAGCTCATGGGTTGAATTTCCATTTGTCGGATCGAAGATGAGCACTACTGATGAATTTTATACTGCAAAGAAACGGCCATCCTCGATATGTATCGACATCAGAATTAATGATCCTCATTCAGTATATTATCTTCGATTTGCGAATAATGTAGTCGTGAAAAAAGATTCATTCATCACAAGCTTCATGTTTAATGATTAGTTTAACAAAACTGTCGATCATCAACGTAAGTGATTTGCGTCGATGATAACGGTCCAACTTGAATTTGATGGAAGCGGTATGACCTCGTAGTCATGCGGGTGACTTGCCAGAACAAATACGCTTGATGAGTGACAGCATCCACTGATGTCAACAGCAGTACGAAGCGGAGCCATGACATGCAATCGATTAATGCGCCTTAGTTGTCCTTGACCTTAACAAGGAACAACAGTCTCTTTAGCATACATGGACTGGCCTATCGGATGATTTGGTTAACGGCCTAGAGATATTTCACTACGGGGTTATGAAGATTATTTAGTTACACGTTTTGAAACCATGAATCAGTCAATGTTGGACCACCATTAGGAAGCACTAGAAGGCCGTTTCGTTCTGGTATGGGACTCATCAGTGGCAGAGCGCATCCACAACTCCTGTACCCCGCAGGATTCGAACTCAGGACCTTAGATATTGTCCGCGAACGCCTAACCTCTGGACCACTGAGCCGGTATCTAACGGTGTTAATGTCTAACTTGATCAATTTACGGAGTTGTGAAACCTCATACACAGTCTTCGTTAGTTACTGTCTACACCTGAACAGGTTGAACTTCACTAGAACTCGGTGATATTTCATAAGGTCCTACAAAATTTAAGATAACACCTTAAATAAAAGACGATAGGTTATTCATACCTGTAAGTTTAATATTTTATCTTATGTGATGATGCAGGTTACGTAATGTAAGTGTAGTTAGTTTTCAACAATTATAGTTTCAACATTAACGCTCTATGGTTTCGGCCATTTATTTTTAAAGGTTCGATCTACAAACCATCAAGCTTTAAAGGTGATTAATGTTGTTTGTACCTCGATGTGACTGATAGAATTAGTTAACCTAATTGACATTGTGCACGAATCAGTAAACGAATGTGTGTATTTGTGTGTGAGTGTGTGTAGATTATGACCTTTGACAGTGAAATCATTATTTAAATAGTCGAAAAAGGCAGATTTAATACCAATATTCATAAGCTTTGAAAAAAAAATTGATAATTAGGGCCATTTGGACACATAGAATAAATGACCTTAAATTTATTTCAAATCATAAGTGTAGACCTAATGTACAACATTTGAACGTTTAAACAAAATAAGAAAACTGAACTGTCTAGACTTCTTTTTTTAAATGTTGTTAAAACACAATGTACGTGTTTTTAGTGAGAAATCTTGTTTAAATTTCAGATATATATATATTTGTTTAAAAATGTTATTTTACATGATAAATATGATCACATTGATAATTGAATGACTCATTTGATTGTGAAGAGAGTGGAGAAAATTCATCATTCATCTTATAACGATGATAATATATTGTTTTCATAAACTTATTGTCGATTATTTTATATTGTGAGGTTGTGGAGATTGTTTAGTGACATTGATATGATGAATCGATCAATTTCTAGACCACCATTAGAAACTTGAAAGCACTGGGTGGCCGGTTCGTCATAGTATGGGACTCATTAGCAGAAAGTATCCCGATCTCGGGAACCGAACACAGGACCATCGTTCTCGCGCTCAAATGCTTAACCTCTAAACCACTGAGCCAACATCCAACAGTGTTAATGTCTAACTTCGATCAGTCTAAGGTACTGGGCAGCCTCACCCATTGTCTTCGTGGAGCGCTACTTCATACTTGAACAAGGTTGAACTCTACTGGTTACGATTTCTCACTAAAACTAGGGAAAAATCCTTACGAAGCTAGTCACCAATGGTCACATTAGAGGTTAAGTGTTAGAGCGCGAGATCAATGGTTTTGAGTTCGATTCCTGCAGTGAAAAAATTATCATGATGATTCATTCAATTTGAAATAAACTCCTAGTTGTAGTTTTGACTGAAATTTGATCAGTCTAAGTTGGTACATGGGTATCCTATGCAGATATATATATATATATATATACTCTTTAGTTTTAAGAATACAATTATCTCCTCTAATTTTCCATTCATCGAAATATTCGTGAAGTTACTCAGAAATCAGTTTTCCTTGTCAGCATATATAGTATCATCTTGACAATATTCTAATCCGGTTTCTAAATGGCCATTTCACAATGCAACAACAAAAAACCTTCAGTTCTCTGTATATACTCCGTGTACACTACAAAGAGGATAGGACGCAAGTTACAGATTTTATCAAATTGGGGTAAAATATCGTCTATCGATTAAAGTCTGGTTCTCTATTTTGGTCAGTCAATCAATCAACAGCAACATAGAACTTCGTACTTACGTACATCAGTTCACGTTGCCATATCACATTAGCACAGACATGCAATTGTCAATTCAAATACCATATTAGTAGAGGTATTAGCAGTAATCGGAGAGATTAGGGTTGAAAAATATTATTCAAGAAGTAGAACCTAGTGAAATAAACTTAAAAAGAAATCCATGGTTAGGATTTGAGCGAACACAAAGACTGAATGCACCTGCGCCATTGCAAATGGTTATGAGCCATCTCATTCAGGGAGAATAACAAACGATTA